CCCCAAAACCCCAAAACCCCATGATTCTAATTTTTGGAGTATATAGAATTTATGATATTAAAATTCAAATTTATTTAAAAATATTATCATACTCTGCTGCATTTGCCATTTCAGTATCTCAATGAGTTGAGGAGCCAACATAGCTCTTTCCATGCTTAAGGTGAATTTAATTAGAAATCTGGCCGATTTCACTATTTATTGTGATGTATGAAACTGTTTGATTATCGTTTTAAATCATTGATGAGAGTCTAATCATTCCTTAAGAGTCAAGAATAGCCACTGAAACTTCATTGTAAGCAGAGAGACTTACAGCTCTTGCTCCAGGGACCATGTACCATTTATCAATCAAGATCTACCATTTGACGATTTCATAGTCTGTAACATTATCCTCGCAGAGTAATCCCCACATTGAGGCGTCAACGCCAGCAGTAATGTCTTTCATGCAAATACCATTGTATTCCTCATTTACTTTTCCATTAAGGTCCAAAGTTACGAGTTCATCCTAATTTAGCGCTATTGTCTTTACATCAACTAATGCTTTGTACTTATAACCTGAAACTTCATCAGTTCTAAAAAGTGAGTCTACGGTATCTGATTCTAGACTTCCATTTGGATCTTTGATTCCTATAATTTTTTAGTCAGATGTAACCTCAAAGTCAGAGAGACCACAAACTAGAATCTACTTGTCGGAGCTGTAAACGCAATTATCTGGACTTAAGTAGTAAAATTTTCCAAGCCTATCAAATCTAATAGCTTTTGCCTGGAAATTTTTATCAGTTATGCTCCATGTTTGATTGTGCTCCAACCATTTGTAGAGGAAGTATTTTACATCTCCATCTTCATTAGTAATTTTCTATGAAGCATATGTATCTCCATCAGGGGAAGACTATACATCATGGAATGAGTTCAATACTGTCCATATAACTTATTTAGTCACATTGAAATGGTATTTATTAGTTATCTCTTATTGCCACTTCAACTATGACAAACCTTTTTAAAGAGGTGTCTTGATTGAAGTTGCTGAAACTTACAAAGAAAATATAGAAAACAGAGCAAATAAAATGATATTTTTCATACTTTTAAATTGATAATTATGAATAAAACTTATTAATGAATTATTTAAATTATAGAATGTATAAATTGCTTATATAAAAATTCAAGAAGATTGAGCATTTTACAAAACCTAGATTCTATCTACTCTCTGCTAATATTTTGAAGAGGGCTAATTATTTTTGGTTATTTTATTAATAGATTTCTTGAAGTTGGTCAAGGTTACTGTAGTTCATTTTTAACATTTGACCCTGATGGAGTGCTATGATGAGAAAGCGCTTCAAAAAACCTTTGTCAGCGTGTGACGAAGGACAAGAATACCATGTTCAAAAATATACATAAGGGCGTTAGAGCCTGAGGCTATGAGCCAGTATCAATACCGTCTTAATTATAAAGATTGCTGTTTTTAGATCAACAGTTTACTTATCTCTGCCATAGTTAGTGCAGTCTATTTATAAATCATCGTGATTTTACATACTTAATCTTACTTTGATCTAACTTCTCAATATTTATAAATGTATCTTAATCTTAAAATCATCTATCCTTTTATTTCTCACTGCTTATGCATATCGTATGAATGACTCATTTATAATAATTTTTAGTCTCTTACATAATAAAAGGTACCACTATATAATATCACAATATTACATCCCTGAAAGTAATGAAAGTTTTTTAAAATTTTCTTTTCAAATCTACCAAATAATCTTCAGTTGACATAAGAAAATTTTCAATTTAGTATTTCAAATATTATCCTAGTTTCAATTTTATTAATATTTTAGAGTCTTAATTATTTTAAAGTACAGCGTTTTAGTAATCTCCACTATCAAAACACCTTTTCGGCCAAGATTTTAAAATCAAAATGGGCATGCTGTTAGGGCAGGTGTGAAGTATTAGAACTATTATACAATTCTTAATTATTATTTATATTTTTAAATATATTTGATATTCTATCACTCTTCAAAATTTGATGATACTTCTAGTTAGGGGTTTTGGGGTTTTGGGG